CTATACTTTTTAGAGTTTTTTGTATGAATAATTCAGTCGATAAGACAGTTTGACATTAGCGATTGACGAAATTTTTATTTACGCGTATTTACCGGTATTTACATTCATTTCCAGTATTGACAAGTATTTACACGTATTTACACGTATTTACACGTATTGACATTTATTTTGTGTATTGAATCGTATTTTTTTAGCTTTTTGGCTTGTTCTTTCCCCCTAGAGTTTTCTGATCGATTGCATGTTTTTCAGCGTAGCTCTTCTTCAATTTTATTGCCGTTGCTTCAGCTTTCTTCAAATCAGATGATAAACTGGTGATGTTTTCATTGAGTTCAGTAAGTTTTTTTTCGTACTCTGTTTTGATTGTGCACAGCTCCAATTTTTTTTCATTCAATTCAAAACAGATTTGCTGATTCTCGGATTTCAATGACACAATTTTGGCAATTAAATTGTTTTTTTCTTTCGTTGTCATTTCGAGTTTGGGTACCACGTTGGGTACGTTGTTACATTGAACTGTTTCCTTCGTCGTTTTTTCAACGGTCTCACCATGACTGCTACTACGTTCAGTTTTAATACCCAAATGTTGTTCAATTTCTTTTTCTGTTTTTATTTTAATAACACGTGCAACGGCATTCGATCGATACTTTTGTGGATCAGAAATAAAATTGTCCATTTCATCAACAGCTCGACGAAAATTGGAATTATTCCGGCATTTGTTCACGAATTTCTCCCGAAAAGTGACGTAATTTTCGATGTTTTTTTCTTCCACAAAACCACTGAAAAACAAGTTAACATTAAATTTCTTATATCAAAACATAAGCGAATGCATTTCAACTCACAATTGTTTTGTTCCAAAAAACAAAACACAAACATTATTTTTCGGAGTTTTTCCCATCTCAGGTGGTGTATCAACAATCTGTTGACGTAAATAAAAGAATGATAGATCAAAATAAATTATATGTATCAAACGCTATTTCAATCATATTTTGCCACTTACGCGTGCAGGCCAATAACAGGAATATCTTTGCTTTGCCCTGTTAAAATGCGATGGTCAAGCGATTTTAGTTTAAAATCATTAAATAAATGTTTTAAACCTAAATTTTACACTCACCAAACTAAATCTGAACCAGTTAATTTCTGATTTTTCTTTTCGACGTTTTTTTGCGACGCCACTTTGATATTAATATTCACAATTTCTTTTTCCATTTTTACGTTTCTTTTTGAGACGGTACTTTGATGCTTATGTTGACAAATTTCAACACCAAATGAGTGTGCATGGATGTTCATTTGTTCATTGTCATATAATACATATTAATTCTGCTATTAGTTTGAATCAAGTGCTATTACTTTTTTTTACTTCTATTAGTTGCTATTATTTTTTAGTGATTTCCCCCTTGACAGAATCTGAAACTTACCTTGCTTGAAGATAAAGTTCATAAATGGAATTTTTGTGCATTGATGTTTATAAACATGGCATCATTGCATCCAAACTTCAGAACTTTTGATGACGGCGATGAAAAACGGCAATACATCAATATCGATTATATGTTGAGTTTTTTGCGACTGTACGATAATGCCATTCCATAACGATTCGGTCGTGAAGTTTTAATTGTTATGCGTCACTTGTTGAATTCAGGAGCATCAATCACAACATCAGTAGGTTTCAAACAGCTATTCAAGGTAATATTTATTCATATTCTAAAAATCATATATACGAGGGTTGCTCCATAATTTTTTTTAAAAACATATATAACACAGTTGTTTTTTGTCGAAAATGGTTTTATTGTTTTTCAAAATATTCCCCGAGATGATCGATACACTTTTGCATTCGATGAAACCATTTGTCATAGCATTCGTGCCACTCCGAAACTGATATCTCCAAAACGTGTGTTTTGAACGCTTCAACTGCTTCTTCTGGTGTCGAAAATCGTTGACCACGTAGTTTTTTCTTCACGCTTGGGAACAAAAAAAAGTCATTGGGTGCCAGGTCAGGACTGTACGGTGGATGACCCATCAGTTCGATGTTTTGACCGGTCAAAAATCGAGTAGTTTGAAAAGATGTGTGAGAGCTCGCATTATCGTGATGAAGAATTATTTTGCGACGGTGGTTGTTTTTTCTTATTTCACCAAACACTTCGGGCAAACAAATGGTGGTATACCAATCAGAATTGACGGTCTTACGATCCTCTAGTGGAACGGTTGCCACATGACCACTTCTCCCGAAAAAACAGGCGACCATTCGCTTCGAAGTGCTTCTTGCTCGAACAACTTTCGTTGGGTTATCTTCATTTTGGAAGACCCATACAGTCGACTGCTGTTTCGTTTCGGGCTCATAGGCATATATCCACGATTCGTCACCAGTGACGATTTTATTAACGTCTTTTGAAGCACCACGATTGAATTTCTTGAGCATTTCTTTACACCAACTCACACGAGCCATTTTTTGTTCATCGGTCAATTTATGTGGGATCCAACGAGAGCAAATCTTTTTTACGGCTAAATGTTCATGCAAAATTGTATGTATGCTGTGGGATGAAATGCCCAAAGATGCCTCAATCTCACGGTAGGTCACATGACGATCTTCCATAATCAGTTTTCTGACAGCATCGATGTTTTGTGGCACAACAGCCGATTTTGGACGACCTGTATGAAACTCGTCTTTGAGCGAACTACGACCGCAACGGAATTCTCGGTACCAGTTATAAATTGTCTGAAGGTTTGGTGCTTCATTGCCAAAGGCCAAATGAAGTCGATCGAAACACTGTTGTTGAGATAATTTACTTCGAAAATCGTAGTAAATCATTTTACGAAAATCTTCACGTGTAAAATTCATTTTTTTGTTGAGTCGCAGTTTACCAGTCACTGTAAACAATACAAATAGCGTTCGTACGACAAAAGGTTCAGGGCACGAATACATACCAAAACATCAAACTTTACGAATATGACAATGGTTTACATCGGGCAACACTATAAGTACCATTTTAAAAAAAATTATGGAGCAACCTACGTAATATGCACGATCTTCTAATTTTTCGAATATAAATTTCTTAAACTTGTATAGAAGATCATAACATATGTTGCATAAGTTTTGTGAGTGAATTCTGGCGTTTATTGCGCTTCATAAATAAAATCAAAAACGCCAACCAATGCACACAGGAGACTTAAGGGGACTCCTACTCTACTATCAAACTCAATTCGACGAAATAAATCCATTCGCAATGGCGTACAAATTGGATTTACGAAAGAGTGTCTCAAATGGTTTTGGCATGCCAAGTTCAAAACAAATTCTGCATGTGTCTAAAGATGAACCAATCTGTCTTCGAACTATGTATAGAGTTTCATGGACATAGTATGAAAATGAGGATTCTAGAAAAAGCCAAAAGTACGGTCGTATGGGACGTTTTGACTATCGGGTGACTATGATTATTGTCAACTATATAGTTAGGTGTTGCAGTTAACCATAGCTTACTTTATAATTGATTGAAGTTAACAAAATTTAACTAACAAGGATACATAACTATGGGTTGGAGCTTTGAGCCAAACGGAATATACCATGGTGAAGGTCTGGGCCATACTAACTCCACGCTATATGCAGTTTTTCCTAATGGGAGTGATTTTTTTTCGCTGCATTCTTTGGTAGTTTTCATAGAAGGCATTTGGATGAATTTTAAAAACAACTTGCCGATTATTTCTCCCACCTGCAAATTCGTATTAGGGGTTTTTTTGGCACGAGAAAGCCGAATCTGGCCTTTATTTAGCGATACAATTACGTTGAAATACACTTTCCCTACAAAAATTAACTTTTTTTGAGAAAATTCCATCATTGTGTACTAATAATGCTACATCTATTCAAAGATTGTAGGTTTTTGGTAGCTAGAAACATTTATAAATCAAGAGAAAATGAAACGATTTACATTCGTAGGAAAATCAACTTTTCAAACTGTTCTAACTACTCAATTCGATTCATTTTGATTCAATAAGCAATTCTAATGCCACTTGAAAATATTATGGTTTCGCGATTTTCATACAGACATAGTGACTGATTTGAATGTATTCTTTCAACTCTCAATAATTCGAATGCACATTTTCTTTGTTCATTTTCATTATTTGGGAGTGTGTATTGGGGGGTTTTTGGCACGAGAAACTTGAATTCGACCTTTATTTTGTGATACACTGACAGTAGAAACCGGGGAACATAACCCGTTTTTATTTTATATTTAAATTTATTCAAACTTTCAGAATATTATTTTGTTTTTTCGGAAAAAACATTCTGTGCAAATCTTCATGTCATTACAACATCAAACAGGCTAGGGGAAAATGACTCGTTGTAAGTTCATAAGTATCTGTAAGTTTCACAAGTTCGCGTAAGAACTCCTGAGTTCTACATACATTTTTGTAAGTTCGTCTAAGTTTTACGTAAGTTCCTATAGATTACTAGTAAGTTTTTCAACGTCAATTGAAAATCGCAGAATGTTGTGAATGGTAATAAATGTTAGTCATGTCGAATCAGATATGTCGAGAAAGTTTTTGGTGAAAAAATACCAAGAAATATAAATTCGTCTAATTAGACGTCATTTTTGAAAGAGTCGATTTTGATAGTGAATAATCAGTAATAAGTATGAGTGTTGAGAGCGATGCTTCAATATCAAAATCAGGTCTTTTAAGGATGATGTCCAATTTACAAGTTCGTGTAAGTTTTTCTTACAATTCTATAGCTTTCGTCGAACTTAGTATATCGATAAGTAGTCATTTTCCCCTAGTAAAATGGGATGCAAGGAAGCTCCGAGAGAAAAAAGATAGAGAAAAACGGTGGGAGGATAAGGTACGTCAGTAATTGTGAGAGTTTTTAATGGAAAAGCGTGACTTATACAAAAACATTTTTTTCTCCTGATTCAGGCATTTTTTACGAGTTTTTTTTTTGCATTATCTCCGTCTCAAGTTTCGTCAATTTCAATTTCTATGATTGTAACTTCTGTCATTTTACTATGAAAAATTCTTACTTAACGAATTTTTTTTCACAAATTGCTTCAAGCTATATCGTTACCATAACGCAAAAGCGCCAGTCAATATTCCAACACAATTTTGTCGATAAACTTTTTCTAGTACATCTTCGTAGGTTTTTGAACGCAATTTTCGATTATAATTATTGATATTAAACATCCCGTTGATTTTTTGATGGATTCAATTCATTTAATTTCAAAGTTCGACACCAACTACAATGATCACTTCCTTCGTAGAAGGCTTACTTTCATATAGCGTTGCTCGTCTGAACAAAATACAATTTACATGTTTTTATCTAACATCTGATTTCTCATAAAGCACCAAAGTTCTTACAATGTGTATGCAAGTTTAATTCTTGCGCCTATATTTCAAAACGAATGTGGGTCATACATTCTAATCATATGAAAAACATCTGTTGAAGCCATCGAAACTCATCCAATATAAATTGTACTTCCGTTTAACGGGGCGTTTCAGGAACTTGAGAAGTTTCAACGAGTTTTCGTGCTTAAAAATGCTTTCAGACGTTTTTTTTTAAATGCAAAACGATTTTTTCAAGTGTATTGTATATTTATGAGTAGAAATCACGCAATTCAATTTATATTTTATTGTACATTTACACTCAATGTGTCTTTGGTATTTGTTTATATCTATTATAAATCAATATGAATACAAGACGAAATGCATTCAATAGCCAAAAAAACATAGTTTTGATTTATTTTCCCAAGTTTACAGAACATTTTCAACGTCTAAATGTTAAATATTTTCATTTGTTGCATGATAAATCTGTACAAATTGAGTGATGTGAAGATAAAAGAAAATATGTAATTTCCATTTTTTTATATATATTCCAGTAAAATCTGTTTCAATCGAACACAACACTATTTCTCAGTAATCCTCACGAGTATTTACAACTCCTTTAAATTGATTGATAGGTTATTATAATATTCATACAGAATAATTTCCATTTGCCACATTTCAATTGAATGCATTTTATTTCACCGCGGTGAGTCATCGAAACGGATAGACACATAGTAGAAAACTCGTTTAGATTAACGCAGAGCATTTGAATAAAATATATCTACTGAACTGCAATCAATGCATTTGCAATGGATTGAAAAGAAATATTTGCGTGGCTTTTTACCCGAAGACAAAGAACATCTTCGATATCTATGAGGTAGATAGAAACAGAACAAGTGACCTGTATA